GGCTTTACGTCTGGAAGATTTACGTATTCCTCCTGCTTATACAAAGACTTTTCAAGGGCCACCTCATGGTATTCAGGTTGAAAGAGATAAACTGAATAAATATGGACGACCATTATTGGGATGTACTATTAAACCCAAACTTGTCAGAAATTGATCTTAGATTTCTGGCATTATATTATAGTGGACTCCTTCCTGAGCCTTTGAGAACATTTACCTACGGACAAGCTATCGGTACCTTTATTYTATTTTATTTATGGTAAGTCCTAGGTATTCACCACATTGTTGCAATTTTTTAAAATAAGATGCGAAATTGGAAGTATTGGACGATTAAATATTAATAAGAAATTAAATTTAGACATACCAGAAGAAGGACCTACGACAGACTACAGTCGACTACTAAAACACAGGTGACGGGTTCAAAGTTCAAACGCACAGGGGTCGACTCGATACTGTACACGGGTGTGGTAAGGTCTAGGGATCGATTTAAAATTAAAAAAAAAAAAAAAAGAGGTCTAGGGATCGAGCCCTGGGATCTGCATCTGTTACTGCAAAGGTGAAAAGCCGTTTCAAAAGGGGCAGGCTCGCACTTGGCTCCTGACCATAGATTTTGAAGATCAACAGCTGAAGGTGGACGGCATCCTCAATCTTATTTTCACTTAAGAAAATTTCCGGTACGCTCTCGTCGTGATTGAAAAAGTGGATAGTTGAAAAAAAAAAAAAAAAGTGGATAGTGTGAATATGCCCCCCTCGTCCACTTCGGGCCTTGATAGAAGTCAGAAGATACGTTTAGGAAAGTGCTAGTGCGAGTATGCCCAGAGGATCTGACTGAATCTGCCGTCAACCCAGGTACGCCGTCCCCTTTTTTTTTTTTTTTTAGGAAAGTGCTCGTGTGCGTATGGCCAGAGAATCTGATTGAATATATAAAGGAAAGTGCTAGTGTGAGTATGCCCAGAGAATCTGACTGAATCTGACCTCAACCCAGGTACGTTTTTTTTTTCCTTTTTTCTTTTATTTTTTGGACAATTAAATCATTGAATATGGCGTTCTTTTTTTCAAATAGAAGCATTCCTCACTCAGTGTAATACCCAAAACTAGGACTGATTCAACATTTTGAATGAATCTGGACCACCACGAAATCCAGATTCAATTAGAGTGTTGTCTGGTTGCTGCCACGTGTCACACCACATAGCCAGCCCCTTTCTACTGCAACATCAATTCATCCCCCTCCCTCTTTCATTCTAACTATGATCAAAACCGAACCAACTACTTTTTTACTGGGATGGACATTCAAAACGAGTCTCTCTCTCTCTCTCTCTCTCTCTCTCTCTCTCTCTCTCTCTCTCTCTCTCTCTCTCTGTGAGAGGTAGAAGGGTAATCGCGACTATGCTAGTCGCATGCCATGGACAGGACGTGTATTCTGTGAAGGTA